AATTTTAGTATATCAATAATAATATGGCAAGAAATAGAGGAAAAATAGAGCTTTTTATATTAATAATATTTAAAATATTATTGAAATTAAAACTCTGATTCAAAATATATAGTACTTTTTGAAGATCAAGATATGAGTCTAGAATAAAACTTTAGATTTAAAGATATGCATATTGTTTGCTGGCATAATACAAATTTATATCTGTGTATCACGTTGGAATAATCTTGAAATTTAGAATTAAACAAGATAATCTTAACAAGAAAAAATGTAAAGCTTTTTATCTTATTTAATGGTGATTTTTATACTTAATTCATATTAAATGTATTTAAATGACAGAAATATATTTGAAACCACACAAATTTCTCTTATTTTCTATGGAGTTTTAGATCTTCAAAGTTAGTTAGAAACATTAAGTACTCAGTTTCCTGGTGATTCATTCTATAATCTACAATATGATACGAAAAGATTCCGTAAATTCCATGAATTCTTCGAATGTTTCACGGTACTTTTTATACTTCAAACATCTTAAGTAAAGACACTTGTTTTAGCAGACAAAATTATTAGTACAGAAAGTATTAATTTGACGTTTCGAGGAAGGGTTAAAGATCACAACTTGACTGACTGCAACGCGTCGTAAGACAGATCGATGAGGCATCTTTACGCGAAAAACGGCGTTACCATTTCTAAGGTACGAAAGGGGGGAGTCGCTTTATTTATAGCGGTCAATAGACGTTTGCGTAAGTCAACCGGTGCACTCTCGACCCTTTTTAACGTGTGTACGCGCACACCGGCGTGTGCATTTACGCCTCGCGACGAGGACACCCACACGCAGGCGCGACGTGCGGAAAAATCTCGAGGCGAGAGGCGAGTATATTCACCTTAAGGCCTTTAGTCCAGCGCGGTCGCACGCGACGTGCGCATCGTGTGCGCGATACAACTTGTATCTCTTCGTCGACGGTTTATATTTGCGAGAATCCGACCGAGGGGATCGAGTCTCTGATGCATCCCGTGGGAACGCGCGAAATTCTCGAGTAATATCAGCCAATTTTCCGATATGGTCAATTTTTATTTCGTACCTTTCATGTAACTGTCATTTTCTACGTGACGTTTGGTGAAATAAAAATTGGCCATATCGGAGGATTGATTGATCCCATTTGAGAAATTTTTGAATCGTAGAATAATATGGAAGAGATTACTTTCAATCGTGATTAGGTGTTAATTCAACATGGTGTAAATTCATGCCTACGTCGCGACGCGATTGATATTTACTTTCCAAGTCTGATATACGCTGAAATGAAATCACCCCCGTGATAATACGGCAAATTCTGCGAATGGCGATTATACGAGACGCGAACATCGCTCGTGGCGATGCTTGGGTGACAACAACGACGGAGCTTCCACGCTCCGATGAGAGGTTGACATCAGGATGCGATGCTAATTAACGATCGCGCAGAAAACGATTCGAGAGGAGGAGGAGGATCGACGTCTCGTTCGACGCAGTGGAAGATGCTCGGGCATTTTGGTAGCAACGAGAGCATATTGGGCTATCTCGCGGTCAAAGGTACACAAATGTATCCTAATATACGGAGAAAATATTATAGTTTAAATTACGATATAATTTGATCGTGGACCGTACTAACTTAACTTATAAGAGAAATCGCAATATTTTTACTTAATAATGTTATGTATGTTTCATATTTTGCAAAGGAACATTTTCTAATCACATTTAAATACTGATGCACAAAACGAATGCATAATCATTAAGATATATTTCAGCTTTATATATAAAATGTAAAAAAATGTATTTTTCATACGGTTTCTATTGTAAAATTGCTTCCGTGTATTATATCGAAATGAAATCGATGAAGATGAATTCTCAATCGCGATGATAAAGATTCAACCGATGATCACACGTTTCGTGTCTGCAAAATTTTGACAACAGCACGAACGCACACACTTGACAAATTGATAAGCTTAATATAATAAAAATATAATTAACCTGTCTCTTAACATATTGACGACGGAATCAACAGACCTCTTAATTATAATAACAAAATTTGAGCAACTGCAGCAAGACGTGTGTTTCGGATTCGCGTTATCAGTTCCATTACATGAAGTATTCACGTCGTAAAATTTTATTACGGCAACGTGAATGTTCAGATAAGAGGTCTCGATCCAGACCGAAGGAAATACGCTCGGCCGAATTTACGGTAATTTAGCATCGCGCGCGACGACGAGGATTCGCAAATTAGCGGCGAGTCGAGTCACACTTGCGCATTCGTCTGTGCGATAATTTATTTTGAAAGCCAGAATAGAAAGCTGAGGACTTTTTAATATAAATAATTATCGCGAGGAGCGACGAATTTGACCAAAAGTTCGCGATTGCTATCGTCGACTCATAACACGATCCACAGTGTATTATTCCCCGTTTATTTATGCTTTCGCAGCTGCATGCTCTCTCACTTAAACGCACTCGAGGTGCTCGAGTATGTGAGCCGGTCGTAAAACTAAAATGAATATTTTACACGCATTTTCTTTTAAGCGAGTCCCTCGAACGATCTAACGCCGGTATCCTCAAAATTGCCATAAATAAATCGGGAATGATTAGAATTTTATATAGTTCCCACGGTGATGCATAATTTTTTCACGATTACATTTTGAGAAACTTGTATTATATTTTATAATCAAAACTTGTTCGCAAATTTTTTTTCTTTTTCTTTGATCTATTATAATTTTAAAATAGTTTACGAAAACTTTGAGAGATTAATTATTAATATATTATTTGTATATAATTCAGAGATATTAATTTATTTTATTGCAAACTATTTTGTCGATTTGTTTCAGATTTTGTGAGATTTATTAGAGAGAGACCGCATATGAAAGTTTTGGATTAAACATTATGTCTCTCACAGATACAATGCCTTTTATTGTAAATTTCTTCCGTCAACAGAATGCATCTCAATATAACGTAAAATCGATAGATGTACGTTGAAGCTACGTGATCATTTCTTTATTTATCCAGCATTTATCTTTTTCCGACGACCCCTCCCGATAATGGCGCGCGGTTACGAGAGTCGTCGTAAAAGCTGGCATTGTGTCTTTCCCCAATCCTTTCTATTTCTCGTTTTTCTTTACCCTCTTGTCATATCGTAAAAGGAGATCGATACGTGTCTGGATGCGTATTTCTTTTTGTCAAGACGAAGTGCCATTATACAAGTCTCGGCTCCTATATGAACAAGACAACAAGAAAAGTCTTATCGTCGTGAAAGATGACAGAATGTTTTGAATAATGTGATAAAGAGAAAATTCAATATTCTCTTCAAGAGAATGGAAAATTTTAAATGGAGAACGTCATCGATTAAATTTTTTGAATTTAGTTTTTATTAATTTATTACTATATTTAATTGCATTAATTTTAGTGATTTAATTTCTAATACAGTTAAGTATAATATATTTACAAGTGATATTTTGATTTGATTTGTATTTAATAGGAAACAACACAAGGAAAAAAGTATATATTTTTAATAAGATAAATCTATTATCGAGAAAAAGAATAATTAAAATTATAAATAATAATTATATATATTGTTTCCATGCTATTGTTGAACAAATTGAGATTAAAGCCTGTGATTATTTCCAATGGATACTTATCTTGCAATAAATGTTCCTTTAAGATCAATTTAGCCCGTGATTAACAAAATTTCATATTCTCGAAACTTATTAAAAACTTGTAACTTTAAATATATAATTGCTTATTTAATTAAATACATCACATTTGTCAAACAAACATAAATTTCTATTCTTTAATACTCTTTTAAAAACTTATTTTTTCAGCTGTACATTATAAACGCGCACTAAATAAATTCCACTTGTTTGCCTACGTGTTTCGCATGCGTTCCTCTTCGTCATCGAAAGCTATCGATGAAGGTAAATGAAAAAAAAAAAACGCTTGTTCTCGCGTCTCGAAAAGCCGTGACTTACGCGTTTCCATTCGAGTTTCTTTCAAATGTGAATGGCCGCGGTTATAGAGAAAGAAAGAGAGGTTGATCCCCTCGGTCGAAGTGTTTACGAGTCACGACCAAGTTACGATACGTTCGCGTGGCGTTGCCATAACGGTATTCCAATCCAGCAATGCATCGATTTACGCGTTGCTGCATCTCGCATGGAAAGTGCAGCTCGCACGCACGCACCGGTTTTCATTTTCATTCACCGCGCCTCTTGATTTTTTTTCTCGAAGATTCTCGAAACGCTTGTTCTCGCGTCTCGAAAAGCCGTGACTTACGCGTTTCCATTCGAGTTTCTTTCAAATGTGAATGGCCGCGGTTATAGAGAAAGAAAGAGAGGTTGATCCCCTCGGTCGAAGTGTTTACGAGTCACGACCAAGTTACGATACGTTCGCGTGGCGTTGCCATAACGGTATTCCAATCCAGCAATGCATCGATTTACGCGTTGCTGCATCTCGCATGGAAAGTGCAGCTCGTACGCACGCGCACCGGTTTTCATTTTCATTCACCGCGCCTCTTGATTTTTTTTCTCGAAGATTCTCGAGAATTATTTCTCTCTCTCTTTTTCTATGAAAACAGTTAACACATTCACAAATTGACGTTATAATACGACGCGATTGTAACTTTTCTTGTCGTTTTTATTTATAGATTTACGTTAGAATTCTTGTCAAACATCATTTAAGAGTAACAATTGCACATATCGCTTCTGTGTTCAACGAGAATGAAAAATTAACTGAATTGGATCTTCTACTTTACATAATATGTATTTTCAAATAGAATAAAAAATTTTCTTTATATTAGGCAGGGAACTATAGATTTTTATATTTTTTATATTAAAATTAATTTTTTAATTAATTTAATTGTGATTGCTATATGCTTTAAATTTTAATAATATTTTTTATCCTTTTTCTCTTATATCTCTCTTTCTTTTCTTATTTTTATATTCTAATTGATATTATATTATTTAATAATTTATTTTTTGATTATGATTTATTTTCTAATCATTTTTTTATTGAATGATCTATAAAAACAATCTGTTTATTGAAGAAATAATAATTCATTCTAGAATATTTTTAAAAATTAATTTATTTATTATTATATATAATTTTGTCTTTTATATATATACATATAATATCCTGTAATTAATTCTGCAAGCTTTCTCGGCGATTTCGTCGCGAATAAAGTGAACACCGACGACGCGAGAAATTCGAGGCGGACGACGAGGTAAATCTGCGCGATAAACGTTCGCAAGATTCTTCGGTTTCTCCTTCGCATTCGCAACGTCGACGTCGGCGGTTTCGCGGTAACGTCGTGACGATTTGTTGCGGCGATATCGTTCGCATTCCACGGGGTGCACGTCACTTGCCAAGCCCGGTCGCGAGGAGTCGGGTTCTCGAAAGTCGTGGAAAATTGCGGACTGAACCGCACAATGTAATCTATGTAACCACCTGCGTCAGGATGCGACGCGGTCGACGAACGAAAAGTATCGATCTTTCCTATCGTTTGCTTCGATATCATTATGTCGAAGGATGGTCTAAAAGAGTAGAGAGAGAGAGAGAGAGGAGAAAGAATATACGTATGCATATAAGCGTAAATTTTACTTTAAATATTTAAAAAATTGTCATCTTTTAATTTTCATTTATATTTTCTCGTTTGTTATTTCTCCGTTTTAATTTTTATTTATATCATTAATAAAATAACGATAGGGCCACAATAATTACTTCATGTCTCTCGCAAATTTCGTCGTCGTGTAAAATTTCCTCGTCATTTTGGCTAATAAAATATTGTTGAAAAAAAAAAAATTCTCATATGCTTTGTATAATTGTGTCTCGACGAGTTTGAGAAGTTGACTATCATGTGACTTCATGTTATTCGTCAAAACGGTCTTGACACTAATTCGCACATATTATTAATTAGTCGCGTGGCGCGTCGCACTTTTTTTCGTCCGAATCCGACACTTGGCACGTATTAGCAAAGCGAGGAAGAAACGTTGCCGACAATAAGCCTACACGCGTGCCTTCGCTCGCTTTGTCAACTCAGGACGGAATGTCACGCCTACCGTGAGTCGTACAAATCCATGTTACGTATAATTGCTATTTTACATCCGCCCTGATTACGAAACATCTAGCGAGGATAAGTACGATCGTGCTCCGATTTTCTTCCCGATTGAAAAAAAAATAATGCCTGCCGTGTTTTATTTATCTCTTTAGACGCGTTTCACAACTTTATACATTCTTGTATTTGCACAACTGCTACGTTTAACTTACACGTGACCGAGTCTGTAATCTCTATCTTGGATAATGTCAGCGTTAAGAGAAGGAGAAACTTCGGATAGATCTCGTTTGCAGATTTCTATATCAAACGATATATAACGGACCATTCGTATATCATGTGGACGAGGAAAATGCGGCAACAACCTTATGATCATCATACTCGCTGTTTTTCCAAGTGATACAAGCGCAAGATACCTTCGCATACTCGGTGGAGCCAGCTGTAAATTCCTTTAATTATCGCCAAGAACTCTCTGTGTGTGCATGTTATCACGTGCTGATAGCGATCCGTAATAATACCGTTACACGATTAGCGAGCGTACACAAGGGCAGACCTCGGGGATGCACTCGAATTTGCACGTTCACCATTTTCCGAGAAATTGCATGGCAAGAATATCTGATCAATCATAAATAGACTTAAAATGATAACGAGCAACGATCGATAAGGTATACGATGTCAATGCGGTGTTGTCGATGTGTAATCGATCCATAAACATCGCATTTATATTATATATCTCGTAACTTTTCGATGCAAAATTAAATTTAAAAATAATTATAAAATTATTAATTTAATAATTAATTTAAATTAATTATAAAATCAAAGGATATATTAATTTTTTTTAATTATAATAAGATCGTAATAATATAATTTCTTAATTCAACATTCTGAAATCTGGATTATCCCGTCTTTCGAGTATTGTATCAAAAATTTTTAATATATGTATATACCCCGGTTTTCAGTTGTGGAACGATGATAGCTTAAAATATGTGAAATATGCAACGTAAACGTAATCTGGTATTCTTGCAGATTCCCAAGATGTCGATCTGGACGCGATCCTCGGTGAATTGTGTGCCCTGGAGAGACGCTGCGACGGCGATATCGCCTCCACTCCTGCGCCAGATACACAAAGATCAGGACGACCCAGCAGCACGAGGATCAATCCGGGTGACAGCACTGACATCAAAAATGAAGGAGGTACGCGCTTGAGAAATTTTCCACGATTTTACGGCATTATCCTCATATATATACAATTATGTATATATAATATATTTATATTATTTGCGGTAAAGGTTTCTTAATGCATTTTATTTTTATATCTTTATCGCGCTCTTGTTATATAGGTATACGCACTGATAGTCCCGACAACGACAGCGCGTTCTCAGACACGGTATCTATGTTATCCAGCGAAAGTTCGGCAAGCAGTAGCGGTTCCGGACACAAACCACCTCAGACCGCAATACACACAACTCCTCAACAGCAGCCGCATCAACTTGTCGGTAAGTCTTTATTTTATCATTTTTGTATTTTATTGTATTCCAATATTCTTTTTTTTTTCGCTATATGACACGTTTTTATAGCCAAAATATTTTTCCTATACGATTAAATTACTCTCGAAGAGTAAATCATATTTTCACAGCGTACATTATATTTGCGCAGATGCGATGTATGTATATTCTTATCGTTGCAGATGCAGCGAGCAGAGCGAAGGCGGAGAAGATCCGCCTGGCGCTGGAGAAGATGCGCGAGGCGAGCGTGCAGAAGCTCTTCATCAAAGCGTTCACGTTGGACGGAAGCGGTAAGAGCCTCTTGGTCGATGAAGGAATGAGCGTCGCGCACGTGTGTAGGTTGCTCGCGGACAAGAACCACGTGCCGATGGATCCAAAATGGGCCGTAGTCGAGCATCTGCCCGATCTTTTCATGGGTGAGTTTATCGTCTTCTTCATTTGCTCAGCTTGTGATGAAACAATCTTACAATGGACAATATTTAATTTTTTTTTTTTAAATATTCGATCACAAGTCTCAGGAAGATTATTTAGAACGAATAACGAGCGAGTTGCTAACAAATCTTTCAGAGAGAGTTTACGAGGACCACGAGTTATTGGTGGAGAATCTTCTGCTGTGGACTAGGGATTCCAAGAACAAATTGCTCTTCGTCGAGAGACCGGATAAGACGCAGCTATTTCTCACGCCCGAGCGGTTCCTTCTCGGTCCCTCGGATCGCGGTGGCGGCGAATACGACGATCATTCGAGAAATATTTTATTGGAGGAGTTCTTCTCGAGCAGCAACGTCGGCGTGCCCGAGGTAAGAGGCGACGTGTTTTACGATCTTCTCGCATCTTGGCAACCCGAGCGACGTATATATATCCTGATAACGAATTCATTTTGGCATACATTCTGTTGGTTTCTCTGCTGCATCGATTGATCGATTCGTTTCTAGGTCGAGGGTCCGCTGTACTTGAAGTCGGATAGTAAGAAGGGCTGGAAGAGGTATCACTTCATTCTACGAGCCTCCGGTCTCTATTACTGGCCAAAGGAGAAGGCGCGCACCGCTCGGGATCTCGTTTGTCTGGCGACGTTCGACGTTAATCAAGTTAGTTATAATGCTACATGTGTTTCACTTTTCATGTGTTTCACTTTTCATGTGTTTCACATGTGTTTCATTTTTCTCATTCTTACGATACTTGTGTAAGAAAATGTTTTAACGATTGTAATTGCAATTGTGTTTGCACATTTATTATATTTCTTCTATCGTTATACTTTAAGACTACTTGATTAGATATCTTCTCCTTTCATTGTTTCATACAAAACTCTTTATCCTTTCATAGATATTATTGTATAATTATTGCTATTAAATCAGGTTTATTACGGCGTCGGTTGGCGAAAGAAATACAAAGCGCCTACGGATTTCTGCTTTGCCGTAAAACACCCGCGACTGCAGCAACCAAAATCCACCAAGTACATCAAATTCCTTTGCGCGGAGGACAACGCCTCTTTGGAGCGATGGATGGTCGGCATCCGCGTGGCCAAATATGGCAGGCAGCTGATGGAGAACTATCGGGCGCTGGTGGACGAATTGGCGCAAGAGGATCTGGACTTATTAGCACATGCCAGATCGTGCTCCGTCAGCTCCATCGCTACGCCGCCGAATCAAACTCAGTACAACACAACGAACGATAACGCGAGGCAGTTTGCAGAGAATGTAAGACAACACAGTAATGAAACTACAGTCGTCACCACGACGAGGCAGTACGACAGCAGCCAAAGGCAGAGTTACAACAATCCGGAACAACGGCAGAGTTATAACAATGACGGCAGGTTGAGCAGAGCGAGCAGCTCTAGCTCCAGTGGATGTTTATCTGACGGGGCGCCAAGTAGCTGTGAGGTGAGCACTATTTGATTGGTGCAATAATGAGAGAAGTCTATGAAAGTAACTGTTTTTTCTTTACGCTGCTTCTGCATCTCACATGCATAATTATCTGTTTCTATATAATGTAATCGTTTTTATTACATCGATAGGTGGCCTTCGAATGCGGTGAGTTTCCAACTGGCACGATAAAGCGGAAGCCGTCTATGAATCCAAAGCTGCCCCTCACGTCGATCACAAGGCAGTTGAAGGAAGTCGGCGAGACCGTGCGAGATGAACCGGATTCCTGTCCGAGCCCGACGAGCTCGGGATCCGGTACGTTGACGAGAAGACACAGTCGCCGGCGAAGCGGCACTGATTCCGACGGATCCGGGACTTTGAAGAGACATCATAGATCTGGAAATGCGACGCCCGTCAGTCCGGTACCGCCTGGCACGCCGGTGAGAGAGAGAACGAGCCCTATGGGATACAGCAGATCGGAGAGTCAGGAATCCAAAACACCAACAAGTCCGATGCAAGCGTGTATGGTGAGTGTATTAACGTAATTTCCATAATAATGAAACATTTCTAATATATATGACCTTTTGGTATCCCTTCAACTATAATATTGACAAGAAGAGATTAAAATATTCGATATCTCTGAAGAACAACAAGTTTTTTGTTGCGCAGATGGATTCGATCACCTCGCTGCCGCCGCCACCATCGCCGTCGAGAGTTGTTGAGGAAGTCGAGTCCGACAACGAGCCACTTCCGCCCCCGCCACCCGAGATGTTCCGTTCGAATCTCTCGCTAGACTCTCTACCGCCGCCGCCGGCGCCCGGCGAGCTTTCGGTTTGTAACACACCGGAACTCACGGGCTCCTCGTTGAGTCTCGTGTCGTTACCGCCACCGCCCAGTCCGCTAGTCGGCGAAACCGGAACGATACGTCGTGCCAGACCCAAGCAGTCCACCCCTACGAACTCTATAACCCCCGAAAGCACTCCCACGCACAATCCCAGGTCGCAATCCAATCAAATGTACGTGAATGCGAACAGTATCGCGCTGAACAGCAATTCGGTCCAAAACAGTCAGAATTACAACTCGAATACGGCGTCTCATAACGCGAACAATACCGCCAATTCCGTATCCTCCCCGCATAGTTCCTATCCAGGATCGACTGCGAGCACGCCGACCTATACCCCGAGCTCGCCCAACTTTGCATCGCCACCACCGTTTGTGCCGCCGCCGGCTTATGGCTCCCAGCAGCAACATGTCAACTCCCAGAGTCTGCCAAACAGGCAGAACTCAAAAGTCGAATCGATGTACGCGAGTCATCAGCCCAACCACAACACGATTCAGCCGATTAGGCCGAATCCTAACATGGACACTGTTCGACGCAGCGCTATGAAGCAGGGAAGCGGCCATTACGCAGCGCCGCCGTACCTGGCAGAGCTGAAAGCCGCCTCCAGTCCGCAGCCGCAGCGCCGAGTGACCATTCAGGAACCGCCGACGTCGCCCAAGTCGAAGACCGGCACCGGCAAGAAGATTTCATTCAATCTGCCACCTCAACAGGAATCCAGTAGTCCCGCTTTGCCGCAACGGAAACCAACGCCACCCAGGAGATCCGACAGCACTAGGCTCACATCGCCCAAGAAACTTGCGGCATCTGACCAGGCTCCGCCGGGCGATTTCCTGAAGGATCTCCAGCGGGTAATGAGGAAGAAGTGGCAGGTCGCGCAAAAATGTAAGTTGGACTCGACGACGACGCCGCACGAGGTGCTCGGTTTCCGAGATCCGCCGCCCGCTGTGGCCGACTACAGGGAGACCAATGTATCTAACTGGGTGCAGGAGCATTATGGCGCGGACAATCTTTATGAGAACGTTTACGCGACAGATCCCCACGCGCCGGTCGAATACGCGTCCAGTCCAGCACGACAACCGACGGTGAGATTCGCTGACGAGAATCGTAGCATGAACATTGTTAACGCGATCGCCGGTAAGAGAAGACCGCCGCCACCGCCGCCCAAACGGGCCGAGACTACGCATCTCACCACTACCAGAGCGATGCACTGACAATAGCAGATAATTCAGCCCCATCCTGAGAGGCGATGGTACTGTTGTCTCTGCGGCTGGTGGAAGGAGTGAAGCGATGGACGTCTTCGCGATTATTTTATACGC